ATATCTCAATTCTATCGACTAGGTGTATGGTGTCAAGTTAGCACTACATACCATTTTTTCTTAAAAAACGAGAGCTACAAATTTTTTCTTTCCACAACAAATTTTAAAGCTAAAAGCTACAATTAATGCCGTTATAACATTTTCAATATCTCAATTCTATCGACTAGGTGTATGGTGTCAAGTTAGCACTACATACCATTTTTTCTTAAAAAACGAGAGCTACAAATTTTTTCTTTCCACAACAAATTTAGAACAAAAACACTACAATTAATGCCGTAGTTAACTTTTCCAATTTCGAAAAGTGTAGTGCTAACTTGACACACGTCTTAGATACATATTTATAAGAAATAAAGCCCTTTCAGACCCATTTCGAATGATACCAAAACTAATATAACTCATTATATAATTTGAATTTAACTTTTTAAACAGGTTTGGCGTACGCGAACGCCAAAAGTTGATAGCTTTTGATAACTATCAATAATTATCAGCGGGCCGAAGGAAATAAGCAAGAAAAAATCCATTTAAGGCGCTTAGATAAGCAGTAAAACAAATAAAAATTAAGGACAATTTAATGTTATGTTTTCTACTCAGTTTATTTCAAGGATTGAAAAATTATAACGGACATACAAGTGTTGCTTGATATTCTCAAATAATAAAGATCTGCGCTAGTCGTTTTAATTTTTTTAAATATTCGTTATTCCCCATTTGAGAAAAATTATTTTTAATCTCTTCAATAACACCGGTGCCTTCCCGTAGAGACGAAACATTGGCTTTACATTTTTGCATCCAAGCAGAAATGCAATTGAAGCTACGAGTTAATAAAAACCACATCTGTACATATGTATGTTATAATTTGCAAACGTTTATTTAGTTCGACGAATAAAAAAAAAACTCAAGAAATGGTCAAGAAAAAGTTATAGAGCCCAATTTTAATAAGCAGTACGAAGTTCTTAAGTTCTTAATTTGCTACGCGATAATAAGCGATTCCAAGCAAAAGCTTAAACTTTTCGACATTCTGCACTGCAGTTTCTTCATCTTCCTATTTCTTTATTTTAATGGTAGAGTGCAGAAAATTACAACTCTACACTATGATTCGCTGGTGAATTAGTTTCACAGGAAGCTTTTTAAGCTGTTAAAAGTATGATTCTTACAACTGGCCCTATTTTAATGCGCACCTTGTTGCCATTAACAGCACACTTGGAGTCATTTGCGAAAAATAAACGCGAAAGCTAAACTTGAAAGTAACTGTATAATGGCTCTATTTCATCGCACACCACTGTTGGTATCGAATTGTGAATAGCAACATGTTTGCAATGAAACTCAATTTTAATTTTTTTAAGTTCTATAGCTAGCTGTTGATCGCTTTGACCTTTTCGAGAGCGTGTACTTGTTTTTGCTTGTAACAATGCCCTTGCGAAATTAAAAAAAATAAAATAAAATAAATAAATACAAATAGGTAGATACGTTTTCATATGTATGTACGTACATACATACATGTGAAAACTCATATTTTGATATAGGGGACAAGAGAAATTGAAAAATGCATCATTTCCATTTAAATTCAACTAAAGGCAAATTTGCCAAGTCTAATAGAGGCATAGCAAATTCGATAAGTTCGAAATGATACGAAATATTTTAATTAACATCGGATCCTTCTGTTTCGTCGTATGGAGTTTGGTTTTACTTTATATAAATAGGAACAGGTACATTTTGATTAGTTTGGGATAGTTTTCGTTTGTTTATTTAATGTTTATTAATTTTTTAAAAGACTTCACAACATATACATACAGTATAGGCCATATCTATAGCACCGCCATTTCAAAGTGATATTGTTTGCTACTTATGTTTAATTATTTATTT